TGGGCAGGAGCTGATGCTGGAGACCTGTGTTTCTATTCCAGCTCGGCCCTGACTCTCTGGGCAGCCTTAGGAAGTCACTTTGCCTCTCTGAGCCTCAGTTCTTTCCTCTGTAAAAGGCGATAGCAACACTTACTTTGCAGAATGTTGTAACAGTGTTGCAAACATTCTTCAGGAGCATGTTTGGGATTAATGAGGTTTTTGGACAGACAGAAAGGGTGTAGTGGACAGAGCACCGGTGGGGGGCAGGAGGTCTCGGTTCTCCACCCTCCCATAACTGACCTGCTCTGTAACTCAGGACAAGTCCCCACCTCTCTCTGGGCCTGTTTCCTCACCTGGAAAATGAGGGGGTGGCCAGAATGAGTGAGCTCACAAATATTTATTGAATCAAGTTTTGTGGATGCAGGTCCTTGTTTCCTTGCTCTAGTTTCTCCTGCTCCGTTTATCTAGTGAACAAACACTGAGCACCTACTGTGTGCCGGGAGCTATTAGAGGAGCTGGGCAGTTGGCGTTGAGCAGGACAGGTAAAGTCCCTGACCTGGGGAACATCCTCAGGCATAAACCTAGTGTGTCAATCCCAATTCCTCCCTTGCATAGCTTCTCACTCCCCTGTTACGCTGGGTGGAGGGGTGTGGGTTTCCTAGTCTATGGATGAGGGGGTGGGGCTGGTGGCCTCAGTGGGCCCTCTCAGCCCTAATGGTCTGGGTTCCATGATAACTCATGGGGACCTCCAAGGGCCAGTGGGAAGACAGAATGAGGAGGTAGGGGGAGACCCTGGAGGGTGAGTCCGGGCCTGAGGGATCCCTGTGCCCAGCACTAAGGGAACCCTGGACCTGGCCGTGAGAGGCAGAAGGGGAAGCTCTAATGGCCGACACTGATGCCGGAGACCCTTGGCCAGCAGTTGAGGATCAGCTGGAGAATGGGCCCTGCCCCAGAGGCCTCGCCCACCAGGACTCCTCTGGGAGTGTCCCCCTTCCAGCCCTCCGCTACCCCCAGCCACCAATGCTCTATGTCACCTTGGGCAGTCACTCTCCTTCTCTGGGCCACAGAGTGAGCAAGAGGAAGCAAGAAAGGAGAGAGCTGGGGAGAGGGGAGAAAGATGTCCTTACATTAGATGGCACCTTGTGGCTCAAAGTGCATTTCCAGGTATATTGTTGGAGCAAGGGAGAAAAATGGGGGAAGGGAGGGGTGGAGAAAGGGAGGAAGAGAAGACTGGGAGGGTCAAGACAGAGAGATGGGGTGAGACGGGGAGAGGGAACGGGCGGGGTGGACAGCAAGAGAACTACAGGAGGGAACAAAGGGCATCGAAGGAAGGCAGTGAGGGGCAGAGGGAAATAGAAGACAGAGGGCACCTTAACAGAGACAGAGAGACAAGGCAGCAGGGAGGATCCTAGCATGGGCCAGACAGAGGCCAGAGCCATGGGTGATCTGGCTGTTTGGGCTGGAAGGGCAACGTGGTCACCTGCAGGCCTGGGCACTGGCCCTGCAGCTTGGACCCCCTCGTGGGTCCCTGAGGGTAATTCAGCTTCATTTGCTCTACAGACCCTGCAAGGTCCCCAGCCTACCTGTGGCCCTGTCCCCAGGGGCTCTCCAGGCCCTCACCCTCACCCTAGCCCCCTAGCTCCTCCTGGTGTGACAAATAGGGGGAGTGGTCACAACACACCCTGTAATGACGGTGGCGGGGTGTCCGTGCACATGGCCAGAGCTCGGCGGTGGGGCCACAGCTCTTGTTTTCTAAATAAGGCGTGAAGAAGGCACTGCTGCGGAAGGGGGCTTACGCCCAGTCTCTCGCTGCTGCGATTAAGAGACACTATGGCATGAAGGTGGGAGGGTCCCCTGAGCGTGCCAACATGAGGAACGGGGGCTCAGTGGGGGCCACGATTTGCCAGGGTCCCCCAGCAGGGGAGGGACTCACATGCTGAGATGAAAGCTATGATTTACTAAGCCCTACTGTGTGCCGGGCTCGGCATCTGCCTGCGTCTGCCTTCATCTCTGGCTCATTCGGCCGTCTGCCTTTGCTCTTTCGTTGTCTCTTTCTTTGTTTCTCTTTCCCTTTGTCTCTTTTTCTCCGTCTCTGTCTCTCTGAAATTAAATGGGATCCAACTGCCAGCTCCCTGTGTGTTCCCATGCCCACGGCCCCAGCCCTTTTCATTATTAATAGAAATATGTCCTCATTGTACAGCTTAATTCTGCTTATCTGGAATGGATTAAGAGCTCACAGTGACATGCAGTATTGATTCTTGAGCATCCCTGTTAAAGGAATTTCACTAAGAACTAATTATTTCCATAAAATCAATGGGGGATGGGAGAGGGGATTGAGGAGACCCTGGGTGGGAGTCAGGAGCCCCAGTTCCTCAGCCCAGACTCTGATGTTCTGTGTCAGTTACTTATCACTCAGGGCTTGGATTGGGCCAGCTCTGGGATGCCAGGGCTGGGACAGGAGGTGGGAGCCAGGCAGGTGGCCCCTTAGACGGCAGGGGGGTAAGAAAGTGCAGTGGGTGTGAGCATGCGATCTGGAGACAGGAGCCCAGGTTTGAACCCCAACTCTATACTCGCTAGCTATGTCACCTGGGCAAGTGACTTCACTGCCCCTCGGTTTCTATATCTATAATGGGGGCAGTGATTCTACCCAGAATTCTGCCAGAAAACAGACTGTCTTCTCAAACTGGGGCAGTTGAGGAGGGTTTAATGCAGGAAGTGGGAGTCCCTGGGTGGTGAAACGGTTAACATGCTTGGCTGCCAATAGAAAGGCTGGAGGTTCAAGTTCATCCAGAGATACCTTGGAAGAAAGGCTTGACAATCTACTTTTGAAAAATCAGCCATTGAAAACCCTGTGGAGTGCAGTTCTACTCTGACATACATGGGGTGCCATGAGTTGGAATCAACTCAAGAGTAACTGGTTTTAACAAAGGGACTACTTACAAAGGTGTAGGCCGGGTATAAGGCAAACACCCTGATTTCAGTGAGAGTGGGAGCAGCTCCCCCAGGCCCCACCCCCATTCCTGAAGTAGGGAGGAGGGAGCTGTTACAGGAACTTGGAGAGAGTGGACTAGGTGGAGCCAACAGCTTGACCAGAGACGAGGCCTTCAGTGGAGGGACATGGCCCACCTGTGAGGACCTCTCCCCCCCGCCACCCCATCTCATGCTGCTGGGCTCATCATGGGCAGGAGCCAGTCAGAAGCCCGAGGGAAGGAAGCCCCTGGATGCGGTCTACACAGGTCGTCCCCGGGGCACAGAGTGGAGTGAGTGTGGATCTGGAGGGGCAACACGGGACTTGGGTACAGTCATGGGTTCAAGTCTTTGTTCTTCCACTGCTTTCTGGGTGGCCTCTCTGAGCCTAGTCTCCCTCTCTATAGAGCAGGGGGTTGACCAGATCTTTCCATTGCTGTGACTTGCTTGCTACACCTACCTAACCCAGTATGTAGTACAGAGGCACCCCTTTGACCTGGGTTTGAAGCCTGGCAGCTCTCCTCACAGTCAGGGGAGCTGTTTCCTACAGGAGGCAGGATCATGGCAGAGGGCCTCGCACACAGTAGGTGTGCAGTAAACATGACTTCCCTTTGTTTCCCTTCAGCAACAACGAGGCAGGAATTTTCCTAGGGGATCTTTTTACTAGGTTGCCTTCAGGGGACATGGGGAGATGCAGGACACTGGTCTGGCCAGTAGGTCTGCTGCTGGTGCTGGTCAGTGAAGAGTGTGACAGGCAGGGTGGTGAGGCAGCCCTGGGCGAGCCTTGGTGCCCTGAGCACTGGCCTCCTCTCCCCGTCCTCGGCCACCTAGGGTGGGGTGGGGCTTTCCAAACCAAGAGTGCCACCCCATGCTCTGGCCAATCTTCAGGGGACCTCACCCTATGGAGGCTACTCAGGCCATAGCCCCGGAAGGCCTGCCCCACCCTCCCACCATCTTCTCTGTTCACCCAAAGCCCAGGCACCAGCCGCAGTCAGGCTTGTGGCTTGTCTTCACCACCTGTTAAGTTAGTACAGCGAGCAGAGGTCTGAGGCAGATGAATCTGGGTTCCTTTTCAGTTAGACTGTGGGCCCTGGAGTGAGTCCTTGGGTGGCACAAACAGTTAGGTGCTCAACCAAAAGGCTGGCAGTTTGAACCCACCTAGAGGTACCTTGAAAGAAAGGCCTGGCAATCTACTTCTGAAAGGTCACAGCCTTGAAAACCCTATGGAGCACAGTTCCACTCTGTAACACATGGGGTTGCCATGAGTCGGAAGGCCTGCCCCACTCTCCCATCACGTTCCCTGCTCACCCAGAGCCCAGGCCCCAGCCGCTGTCAGGCTTGTAGCTTGTTTCCACCACCTGCAAAGTCAGGGCAGAGCGCAGAGGTTTGATTTTTGGTTTTAAGTTTTGGTGGGGCCTGGAGCAAGTCATTCCACTCCTCCCAGGCTCGTTTGCTCATCTGTCCGTGGGGATAAACCTCCCTCACTGTGTTGTCCTAAGGATTGGCGCTGGTGTCTGCAAGGCCCAAACCATGTCATGAGGGCCACGGGATGCCACTTCCTACACCCACTGTCCAAACCCAGGGCCCGAGCTGGTTTCCACGTGGCCCAGGACGTCCCAAGCCCCGCACACACCTGGCTCAGACGAGGTCCTCCTGGTCTTGGTGCCTAGGCTGAACCAAACAGCAGAACAAGTCCCCTGTCTCGTTTCCAGTTTTTAATGTTTTTCTTGTAACCAAAAATATAAAACTGGCAGGGGAATGGGAAACAAGTCCTGTACACTTTCTATACACGAGGTCTGTGATTTCAAAACCAGAGGGGGAAGAAACGGAAGGCACAGACAAGGAAATGTCCAAAGGGTCACGGATCCTGATGGCAACTGCCGAGCGCCCAGCCCTGGAAGGCCCGCGGCCCAGGACAGCGCTGGGCGGGCCTCGAAGTGCTGTGGAGAGCTTCGGCCTGGCTGTTGGGGCAGCACACGGGGGTGGGGACAGCTGGCAGGTGGGTGGAGCAGTGTCTGCGATGGAGGGCGGGCAGGTCGGGGTGGAGCCTTCCTTCAGGTGTCTGTGTAGATGGAGGGGATGTGACTCAGGCAGTGGTCAAAGGCCCCATTGGGAAAGAAGCCACAGTCCTCAGGGCCACTGGACACCATGTCTTCAGGTGGCTGTGGTAGCAACGTTGTGGGGCACGGGGCCTCGTAGCCTGTGGGTGGATGGGAGAGCGTTGGGGCTAGAAGGGGGTAGGGGCTCTGCCCGGGATCTTCTCCCATCTCCCAGGCCCCACCCACTGCCCAGGGTCCCTCCTCGTAGAGCCCTCAGTGGGCCTGGTCTGCCCTCGGACCTTCCAGATAGGGGAGCTGGTAGGTGGGGATGGGAGGGGGCTTGGGAGGTAGGACCCCTAGGCCTAGCTCTTTTGGGGGGACCCAAGGAAGCTGGGGAGACAGGCATGTGCTGGCTTGGTGGGCTCTTCATCCAGGGCTGAACTACGGGGGCAGAACATGGGGAACCGAGAGAAGCGTGGAAGTGCGGTATCACAGCTCTTGCCCTCAAAGGCTGGTCTTCTCCTGGGATCACCTCCACCCTTTCAGGTGCCTCCTCCCACCAGACACAAGAAGCCCAGAGAAGAAAACTCACACTTACTGAGCACGTACTAAGTGCTCATTTAAGCCATTATTTCACTGAGGCCTCACAACACTCCCTTGAAGTGGGATTCATTACTCCATTTTATAGACAAGAAGATGGGCTCAGAGAGAGAAAGACACTTGCCTAAGGTCACGCTACTAGTAACTGGGGGAGCTGGGACTTGAACCCACCTCCATCTGGCTCTGGAGATACCTGGACATGCTGTCTCTAGGGTGGGGTCACTGCTCAGAGGCCCTAGACCTGGGAGGGGCTGGAAAGGTCATCTTGTCCGTCCTCTGTTCCTGGGTTGTTGTCACAAACTTCTGTGGCCTAAGGCAGATGGGCCTCACTCTCCCCATCCTGGATTCAATCCTGTGACTATACTGGCTTGGCAGAGGAGATGTGGGCAGCTGAGCCTGCTATCTGGGTGGCTGGATGCTGGGCTGCTACCTGGACAGCAGGGTAGAAGCGAGGCCTAAAGGACCCCTGGGGGTATGGTGTGGACACTGGTGCTTGCCCCCCACCACAGCTATTATTTCAGGGCTTCCTGCTACACTGAGAAGTCTGGCTTGGGCTGGATGCGGATACGGGTGGTGAGAGTCAGCATTGCTAGGGATGGTGACTGGGGTCTAATCTTGCACCAGTCTACATGTGCACCAGCACAGAACACACTCACTCCTACAGGGGCCACAGGGCCATGCAGGTGCTTAATTCCTAAGTCTACAGCTTCTTTCTTCCTTTTGGGCACGAGCTTACGTATCAATCATACTTTTGGAGATGGAGACCTTTGGTTTAGACTTGGTACCTCCTGGGTACTGCCCCATGGGATTGGACGTGACTTACAGGCTTTTTACCTGTAGCATTTTCTGAGCTTCCATACCCAGAGGTGCGGCCATATTTTGCAGCACATGTGCACACTGTGATCAGGTCTAGCATGCATGTATGTGGCAAGTGTCCACCCACTGAAGTAAGTACACCTGTACGCAAACACACAGGCATGCTCACTGCGAACAGCCGCAGTGTGCTCATGTACACACAAGGCTGTGGGCACAGCCAGAGTCAGGGGATGGGTGGTACACAAATGTGCATACAGATGGGGAGTGCTAGAAACCACACAGCATGATGGGGGCTCGTGTGTAGGAGCACACGTGCGTGGGCTCACACTGCCCAGGACCCATTCATGCTGGCCCCACATGCACACATGGACATGCCCCACAAACATGTGAAGAAAGAGGGAACACACACACAGACACGGGAGCAAGCGTGTCAATGTGAACGCGTGACCTCACACGTGCACCCCCACATAGATGTACCCACAGGTGTGTGTGTGCTTGTCTGGGGCCTCAGTGCTGCACCCCCAGCTGCACACACTCAGAGCTGTCCAAGGGGGTCTCTGGGGCAGGATCTCAGGTGCTCCTTTGTCTGAGGGGCCCCTATCCTGCTCAGACCTGTGGCCTTCAGTTGGCCCTGGCCCTGAGGCTGATGTGGGGCAGGGCTTGCCCCTGCTAGCCTGGCCCTGATGAGCTGAGTGTTCCCCTCTGACAGGGCTGCTCCGCCCGAGCCAGGAGCATTACTTGGGGAAGGGCCCAGGGCCCTGCAGGGAATCGCCAAGCACAGACGTGGTGTAAGGAACAGGCACACCTTCAAACCTCTGTCCTTTGCTAGCAGTGTGGCCTCTCTGGGCCTCAGTGTTCTCATCTGTTAAATGGAGCTCAGTATTTGTCTCATTCTCTGCTGTATCCTAGAGTCTAAACTGACTGGTACACAGTAGGTGCTCAATAAATATTTAAAGTGAAGACTCAACTAGACTGTGAGCTCCTGGTCTGATTCCTGTCTGTGTATTCAGGAATCCCAGACTCACATGTTTAAGTCATGAGAAGTCGTGGAGAGACCCTGACTTTAGAGTCAGGTAGGGTGCAAATCCCAGTTCTGTGGGATCCTGGGGCCTCTCTGAGCCTCTGTTTTCCCCTCTGTAAAGTGGGGATGACTCTCCCTCGTAGAGCTGTCACAAGGATTCGGGACAATTACATAAAGCACCCAGCATAGGGTTGGGCCTTGGTAGGCGCTTGGGGAAGGGGGCAGGCCAGGGGCTTACCTGTGGCGGGTAAAGGCGCACTTAGGCTGTGGTAGCCATTGCGCCGCAGGGGGTTGAAACTGTGGGCCTCCCCTGCCAGTCCGTCCCCGCTGGCTGCTGGCTCGGTTGTCCGGTAGCAGTCACCATAGGGGAAGCAACTCTGGATGGAGTGGAAACTACCCTGGTACCCTGCAGAGGGAGGCGGGGGGCTGCATTAACTAAGGCAAAAAGCCCAGGATGGGGCGGGGGGCATCCCCGAGGCTCTGCTCAGTCCCCCAGGGTGTCTTGTCTGGCACTGTGAGTGTGGATGAGGGAAGAGGAGCCCCAGGCAACGAAAGGTGCTAGGAGTCAGGGCCCTATTCTCAGCTCTGCCCTTCATCCCTTGGTCTCCCTATTAGCCCGGCAGAAGGGTCAGTTGAGGTGGTCTCATGTGGCTGCACCTGGCTTACCACCCTCTTCCATGTCAATCACTCACTGTCTCCCCACGTAGCAGCTTTTCCCACCCCCAGCCATTATCGGTGCTGTTTCCTCTAGCCCTTTGACACCTTGTTGATGGAACAAACTTCCTCATCCTTCAGAACTAACCTCCCCCAGGACACACCCCAGACTAGGCTGTGCTGGGTCTCCAGTCATGGCCCTCACTGCCCAGCACTGTCATTCTCTGAGCGCTCACCTGTCTGCCCCAGGTCAGTGTCTTGTTCCTCCCTGGTGCCCAAGTGGGAGTTGTCAGTGTTTATGGAGAGGGCCGCTGGCCAGAGCTTACCTTGCGGGCTGGGCAGAGGTGTGGGCGCGGGGTTCTGAAAAGGTGGGTAGGGTGGCTTGCTGGGAAGCGAGGAGAAGGGCTGGGCCCCCGGAGAATGGCTCTGGGAGGACGGTGGCAGCGGCGGTGGCCTGAGCCCCTTCAGCGGGCTGACCAGGGGTGAGAGGAGGCCAGGCCCCAACCTAGAGAGCAGAGATGGTGTCAGCAGGAAGGGCGCTGGGGGATCCGGGGGCGAGAAGCATGGCTCTGCTGTTTGTTCCCCTCCAGTGACGGGGAGCTCAGACCTCACCAGCCCACCTGCTTTAACTCTGATAGTGCTCTTAGGAGAGGAAATTTTGATGTCTGATACACTCCAACTGGAATTAAATTTTTAAATCCTCTAAATTTTAGAATCCAAAGGATGAAAAACTAATCCGGTATTTAGGATGTGTTCAAATCCCCATCTACTCTCACCGGCCCCGTGATTTTGGGCAGATTGTTTAATGTTTGAGGCTTGGTGTCCTCACAGGGTTGCCGTGTTCACTACCCGGCCCCCTGCAGTTCTCACTGTTGTTGTCAGCTGCCCTCGAGTCACCCCGACTCATGACGACCCATGTGCAACAGAAAGCAATGCTGCCCTGTCCTGTACCACCCCCGTGATCAACTGCGTATCAGACCACTGTGATCCATAGGGCTTTCACTGGCAGATTTTTTGGAAGTAGCTCACCAGAGCTTTCTTCCTAGTCCGTCTTAGTCCGGAAGCTCTGCTGAAACCTGTTCAGCATCACAGCAACAAGCAAGCGTCCACTGACAGACGAGTGGAGGCTGTGCATGAGATGCACTGCTGGGAATCAAACCCGGGTCTCCTGCATGGAGGGTGAGAATTCTACCGCTGAATTACCGCTAAAAACAAACAAACAAAAAAACCAAACCAAACCCACTGCCATTGAGTCCATTTTGACTCACAGCTACCCTACAGGACAGAGCAGAACTGTCTATAGGGTTTCCAAGGAGTGTCTGGTGGATTCGAACTGCCAACCTTTTGGTTAGCAGCTGAGCTCTTAACCACTGCGCCACCAGGGCTCCAAATCACCACTACAAGGGCTAAATACCAGCCCCCCCGCCCCAGTGGATGCCCAGCAGTCTCGCTCTGTGCACGCAACTCTGGCCCTGGAGGAAGAGCCTGGGCATTTCGTGATCCGGAGCACACCTCACAGCACTAACAGCCACCGTTCTCGGAGCCCCTGCCTCACCCCAGGCCCCTGAGACAGGTGTTCTTGTGTCCTTCTAACAGATCAGAAAACCAAGGCTCAGAGTTTTGCCCCAGCTACCCCTGGCCACACAGCACCAACCTCATGGGTTATAGTGAGGGTCAATTAAATAAATCAGACAAAAATAAATTGGACAAAGCTCACAGTATGATGCCTGGTACATTCTTAGCTACTCCAGGAATCCTCATCATCATCATTATTAAGATGAGAGGAAGAAAATCTGGCAGGTCAGTCAGACGTCCAAGTTAGGCTTCTTTCCCCTTGCATAGTGTACTTTTAGGAACCTTCTCCGGTCTCCATCCCTGGCCATCTCTCCTCCACGTGCATACCTCTGGTGATGGGGAGCTCACCACCTCCATTCATACAGAACTTCAAGGGATGCAGGACTAATCTTGAGCTCTCCAGAAGCTCATGCTCTGAAATAAGAGCTGTGTGGTCACCCTCAGCCTGGCCGAGCCCAAATGGGCTAAATGGATTGTAGGTCAAGCTGCAAGCCAGCTATTTTCCCTCCTCATGCTGCCTTCCTAAGTCTCTGGGGTTCTGTTTACAGACCAAAATGACCCTGAGGTCAGTTGAGCTTGAACGTTCTTGGAGTCAGGCTGAGGGCTCACAGCCCATAAAGCATTTATGTGCATTGGGAAGTGAGAGAGAGAGAGAGAAAAAAAGAGTCCGCACACTGAGTCTCCATTTTCTTGTTTGGATTTGTCGATTCGTTGCACCAGCCACATCTATATTACAAATCCAATGTCACAGCTCCAGCTGACCTCGCCAAGTAAGTCGTGTTACCTCACTCACCCTCTGAGACACGAGGTGTTAACTGGACATGTCAGTGCCTCTCGCTGAGGGGAGCAGGACTGTCTCCAACAGGAAAAAGGAGATCTGGGGAGAGTTGGTGGGCTCCATGTCTGCCACGCTCCCAAGTCCCCCTCTGCTCCCTTCAGCCTGGGCACCCTGCTGTCCCCACTCCCCATTGCATTGCCATTATCCACGTGACTGTGATCCCCACCAGCCACTGTGAGCTCGCTGAGGGCAGGGAAAGGGTGGCCTCCATGCTGGGACCCTGGCTCCTGGGCCAGCAACTGACACACTGTGGGCATACATGTCAGACTGTGTTAATGAACTCATCAGGTCTTGAGTTAACTACCATTATCATCAAGATTAGTATGTTTCAGCCTGTCTCACAAGGCCGTCAAGTTGGACAAGGTCTATGACAGTGCTTTGTGAACTGTGGAGGGCTCATCGTCCTCATAGTCAGTTGTCCTGGCCGAGGCTGGGCTGAGGCACCACCAGGAGAGCGGATTCTCCTTCCCCTGGGCCTGCTGCGTGGTGCCTGCCTCGTCCCCACCCCAGCCCAGCACTCACAGCCCTGCTGTCCCTGGCCAGCCTTCCTGCCGGTCCCCCACACCTGGGAGCACCTGAGGAGGGCAGGTCTCGCCCTCTTGGTCACCTGGTGCCTGGCACATGGCAAAGAGCTGAATAAACACTAACGAGTGGGTTTCTGAATCGCTCGGCTAAAAAACTCAGAGATTAACAGCATCGCAGAATTAAGGAGGACCAGCGCTGAAGGGGAAAAAACATGCATTTTCAGAGTTCGTTTTTCCTGTCTCAAACCTGCCAGAAATTCCCATTTGCCACCTTTGCAGCCAGTGAAATTAAACAGAACACGGCTCTATTCTCAGCAGACACTAAGCCTGATGGGAGGCTGCTCTACCTGAACTCTGTAAAAGGAAAAAAAGAGGAAAAAAATCATCTGGAGCCCCTCTTCTGAGTCATACAAATGATTCCTAAATCAAATATTTTTTGCTTCAATTGGAACCTATAAAAATTAATATAAACCTCACAGGCCTGGCAGACAGAGGGCTTCATACTTTGCGCGGGGCTGGGGAAAAAACACCCTACTCGGCATCTTCTCTGAGCCAGGGTAAATAAATTTGGTCATGAAGTCAGGCCCTCTTAGAATATTTTTGAGTGAATCAGATAATTCTGTCAAACTGTTTAAACATCTCAGCAAACCACTGGGGGCCACGAGGGGCTGTTCCCTGTTGACTTTGGCTGGATGGGAAAGGCTGAAGGCACCCCCCCACCCCAGTCCCCTGTTCTCAGGGGACGAGAAAAGAAACCCATTTAAGCTGGCTTGGGGCTGGTGTCAGGCATGACGGCTTTCTCTCCCGCAGCCTGGAGTACCAGGCGCCTGGCAGGATGGGATGACGTGCACTTCTGCTCCAGTGGGCAGGGGCGGCGGGCAGGCCAGGGTCCCCTCTGTCTGGTCACCACTCTGCCTCTCGCTGCACGAATCCTGACGGGCACCTATGCAGGCAGCAGGCAGGTGATGAATGAGGTGGGCAGAGTGCACAGGCCTAAGCGGGGAAAGGCCGGTGTGGTTTATTTTTCTTGGGTTGGGAGATATTTTGGGGCTGGCTGGTGGGTGAGCAGGTGGCCTGAGTCAGCCTGTTGGGGTGGGGTGGGGGAGGTTGGGGGTTAGTGTTGGGGGACCCTGCACTGCATGACACACACAATGTCAAGTATGTATAGCTGACACTCATCATCTCCCTACAGGAGAATATTTTAATACCCATTTTATAGAGGAGGAAACAGGCTGGGGAGGGGCTGGTTTTCTCGGCTCCCTCTTTTCAGCCCATCAGGCTGCCTCATCAGAGCTCTCCACCCACACCTGCGGCCAGTCTTCCCCTGCTCGTCAACCGTGCCTCGGCCCACAGAGCGGCTCGTCCCTGATGGTCCCCCCTCTCCCCACACAGCCAGGGTTTCACTGTTGTCATTGTTAGTTGCCACCAAGTGGATTCTGACTCACGGCAACTCCACGTGTGCAGAATGGAACTGCTCCGTACGGTTTTCAAGGCTGTGACCTTTCAGAAGCAGATCGCCAGGCCTGTCTTCCAAGGCACCTCTGGGTGGGTTCAAACCACCAACCTTTGGGCTAGTAGCTGAGCCTTAACCGTTTGTGCCACCCAGGGACTCCTAGGTCCTGCCTATTCTACTTCACTAATGTCTTCTGAGTGTTCCCTCTTCCCTACCCACCGGGCCTGGCTCAGGCTGCCATCCTGCACCCCACATTCCATCTTGCCCTCAGCAATCCAACCTTTATCCCCAGGCCTGCTCACATCACCGCTCAACACCCTTCAGGACAGGGCTCTCGTCACAGCCCTCGTGATCTGCCTCAGCAACGTCTCTACCCGGCTCATCACGTATACAATGATCTGTGTTTCCCCAACTACGCTGTGCTCTCATCACACCTGCCTTTGCCCTCGCTGTTCGTTCCTCCCAGCCTCTCTACCCGGCCAGCTTCTGTTTAACTTTGGGGGCTCGGCCTGGTATTGCCTCCTCCAAGAAGCCCACCCTGACATCCTCCCCTTCTGCTCCCTTCCGTCATGGCACTTGCCCCCTGTGTGGACAATCTCTGCAGGTCTGTCCGTCTCCTCCTCAAAATGAGCTTCTCCAGGGCTGAAATCAGCACTGGGCTTAGGGCCTACCTGGCCCACGAGCTAAAAACCTGGACATTGAATGAATGAATGAAAATAAATGAATGGCAGGAGAAGCCCACTTAGGAGCACTGGAGTATGAATCTGGTGGTGAGGCTGGCCCAGTCCCAGACATGGGCAGGCCAAGGCCAAGGCTGCAGCCTTGGGGAGGAAGGCGAAGGGAGGGAGGAAGGCACTAGGGCCAGGCCTGGGGGAGAAGTTTGATCAACTCCCTGTTGATGGTAGGCAAGAGTGGCTGGCAGGGCAGGGAGGGTCGCAGGTGGGGCTTCGAGGCCTCCCTCTGCCCATTTGCAAGGAAAACAGATTTCAGCAGCCTTGGGAGCCAGCGATGAACACATTCACTATTTCCAGCCAATTAAGTGGCCACAGTGAGAACCACGTTGAACACAGGAAGAGGCCGCCTCTCCCCTCGGTGACCCTCTCTGGGCAGCCCCCAGCAGGCCAGGCGAGGGTTACAGCTGCAGTGGCCAGCAATAGGGGTTAGGCTCAGGCCGGCATCTCTGGAGTGGGCAGTGGGCAGTCTGTCCACCCAATGGGTGGCATAAGCCAGGGAGAAGCCTGGGCGTGGCAGCTCAGGATCCAGGAGGTGAGGGTTGCAGGAGAGCATCTTCCAAGGGCCTCCCCAGTGGGGAAGAGAGGGTGCATGAGATGAGGTGTCAAGAAGCCTGAGTGCTAATACCATCTACCTCACAGAGTTATTGTGAGCTGCAAATGAACTCGTGCAGGTAAAGTGTTTACCACAGCGTCTAGCACACAGCAAGAAACCCACAAACGGTGGACATTCTCATGATCAGTAACAACCAGAGGGTGTGCAGGATGCCTGCCCTCGCCTGCCTCCCACGAGTGCCCACTTGCCATCCTGGAGGAAGACTGGCTTGGTGTACATACCCGTCCCTGGTGCTCTCAGCTGTGGGCAGAGGGGGCAGATGGTGGGAACCAGCGGTGGCGTCCAGGGGGTGGTGCCTGGAAGGGACATCATGCGTGGGGGGAAGAATCCCCGATGCCAGCCCGTTATGGGGGGTGAGGGAGCCAGGATACACGCCTGCAGAGAAGCAAACAAATGTCACTTGGCTCTGACCACTCCCTAGAGGTGGCTGTGACGGCCCAGGAACTGTGTGTGCCTGCTTACAGAAAGACAAGTAGAAAAATGAGCAAGCTTGTATTAATAGAAGTTTAGGGGTCCAAACAAGGGAGACCATGGTCCTCTGTTCAGGGTCTGGCTGCAGGGCTGTGTCCAGGGCTGGCCCCCTGACAAGAGAGTTGGACTGAGAAGGCACTATCGGAGCCATGGTGGGCTGGCCCAGAGGGAGGGGGCTGGGGGTTTGTCTGGAGCAGGCTGCCTCAAACCTCTGTGGGGCTGTTCTAGAAAAGAAGAAACAGGACTTACTCTGTGTGGTTCCAAAGGCACACAGGGACCCAGGAGTAGGGAGAAGCTTCAGAGTTCAGAGCTGGGAGGTACCTTCTAATAGGCAGGGCCACTGCAGCGTAATGAGCTGTCTTTGGAGAGAATCAACTACCCACCCCCAGAAGTGTGTGAGCCGAGGCTAGGTGTCTGCTATGAGGGATTCCTAAGGGAGAATGCCTGTGCCAGCTGGGTGACAAGCTAGCTGGAGGACCGCTGAGAAGGGCTGCCACGTATGGTTGCATAGGCTGTATACTGCACAAGGGTCCCAGATGAGGGGAAGAGTCAGCTGTGTTCTAGTCTCAAATTCTAAATCTACAAAAGACACCTGCAAGGTGAAACCACCTTTTATCAGAAAACCCCCAAGGGCCTTAACCTTGTTGAGAAGACCAGGGGAGATGGGAGGGGCTGGCAGATCAGTGGGAGACGAGGTCAGGGTCAGATATTGCTCCAGGGGACCAACTGAGGGTCTAGGAGTTACTGAAGCCAGTGCTCCCCAAACATCTTCACCAAAGAACCCTGATCAGAGTTGAGAATGAGGCCCCACCCTGGGACTGCAGCCTAAAAGGGACAGAGCAAGGGTTGAAAGATTTTTAAATTTCCTATTTTTTTCTGAAAAAAATGGAGCCAATTTTGCATTCCCTCTTTAATCCGGCCATGCTTATGTTAATAGAAATTGACATGATTTTCCCCACAATCAGTGCATCTAGCTGATGTCCTGGGAGGGCTCTGTGGACCAGAGGCCGTGCCCAGGGCCACGCTAAGGCAGTGTCCTCTCGGACTGGCTGGTGCCTGCCCTGGACCAGCTGTTACATTTTGAATATCGCTCTGGTCATCACGAATCCAGACCCAATGCTCTTTATCACGCCATGAGGACCAATCTGAGAACATACTAGGCTCCTTTCAAGCATGGAGGTTAAGGAGGAAGTTTTACCTTTTCAAGTGATTGGGGTTCTGAGGCTAGCCTGTCCCAGGCTGGTCCCTCTGGCCCAGGCCTGCAATTCAGGGAGTTGCTACAAGGAATTGAGTAGAGTTGTGGCAGGGAGCAAAAATAAGTGAAAGTGGAGGGGTTTACAATATGGAGCAGTGCGGACTGTGGTAAAGTGGAGAGACCATGCCCCTTCGGGCCCTTTGCAAACTGTTAAAAACAAACAAAACACCAAGCAAACAAAAAACACTGTGCCTACGAGACCAAACAAGTTGCACCACCCAGCTTAGAGTTCAGAGCTGCAGGTACCCTATGGTTGGTTACAACTGGTGGGATAAACACAGGTTCAGACTGCAAGACTTTCTACTCTTACAATAAATGTGCATCATCATTAACAACAGTGACTGATAATCAAGACAATACTGTATGCCAGGTTCTTTCTCCACATTATCTAGTTTAACTATCTCAACAACTATGGGAAATAATATGGTCCCATTTTAAGATAAGAAACTCAGGCTCAAGAAGTTAAATGACTCATCCAAAGTCACACAGTGGCAGCTAACCCAGCCGGTCTCTCAAGTGATACCAAGAGAATGAGAGAATGTCCATTTGAGGTGAGGTCCAGTGTTATGGATTGAATTGTGTCCCCCAAAAGTGTGTGTCAACTTGGTTAGGCCATGATTCCCGGTATTGTGTGATTGTCCACCATTCTGTCATCCCGTGTGATTTTCCTGTGTGTTGTAAATCCTACCTACATGGTGTTAATGAGGCAGGATTAGAGGCAGTTATGTTAATGAGGCAGGACTCAATCTACAGGATTAGGTTGTATCTTGAGTCAATCTCTTTTGAGATATAAAAGACAGAAGCAAGCAGAGAGACAGAGGGACCTCATGCCACCAAGTAAATGAAGAACCAGGAGGGGAGCATGTCCTTTGGACTCAGGGTCCCTGCACTGAGAAGCTGCTAGACCAGGGGAAGATTGATGACAAGGACCTTCCCCCAGAGCAGACAAAGAGAGAAAGGCTTCTGCTGGAGCTGGCACCCTGAATTCGGACTTCTAGCCTCCTAGACTGTGAGGGAATAAATTTCCCTTTGTTAAAACCATCCACTTGTGGTACTTCTGTTAGAGCAGCACTAGATGACTAAGACACCCAAGAAGTAGCATGGGGCTCCAGCTCAGGCCGTGGCCTGGACATCTGGCCAGGAGCCTCATCTCTGGTCCAGGCTTCACCATCAGCTGTGAGACCCCAGAACTCTGGAGTGGACTCTCAGGACACCTCCAGCTCTTGGTACCAGCACTTACCCCTCCTCACCTCTGGAACCTCTGCTCCCTTGGGCAGTACTGCCTGTCCATCCTATTCACTGCCTCCCTTGGACAGCACATCCCTCCTCATGGCTTGTCAGGAAGACAGGCAGGGTGGGGGTGCAGATGGAGCCTGGCTCAGGGTTGCTCATGAGGTGCACTGCTCACCACTTTTCCCTAGCACCTCCTTGCCTGCCATCTTGAACCAATTTGGGGGCCTGACAGCTGGGAAGGCCTGGAATCCTGATAAATCCCACTCCTCTCCCTCAGCCATGCTGACCTCATGCTTCTCACGTCCTCACTACCAATCATGTTACCCTGGGTCTGCTAAAGAAGGGCCTGCAGAGATGCTCCTGAGGGCATCCGATGAAGGGAAGATCTGGTCCTTCCTGATGAGACAAGCTCACAGGAGCTTCCTATCACCAGACAATGAAAATTCCATGGGATTCTCACCAGCTCTTCCCTCGCCCTCACCCCTCTGTTCTGGACTCTTCCATCCTAATGCTCCTTGAATTTGTCCCCTGCTTTCACCTGCACTTGCCCTTGCCTGGTCCTGCGATAGCCTTCTGAGAACACACGGTGGGTGCCCGAGTGAGGGAACGAGGCATGTGTGAACATGTGAAGGCGCGGTGGATGGGAATGAAGGGATCATTCTATCAGTGGGGGGCAGCAGAAATGGCCACACCATGGGCCTGCCTGGCCTCCCCTAAAATGAACCACTTCAGGCTGTAAATCAGCATCATCAATCATCAGCCGTGACTGCTTAACCCCTGGCCCTAACATCTGTTCCCAACTGTGGCGCCAGCATCTGTGGCACGGCTGGCAGAAGGACCCAGAGGGCCCGAAGCTGGGGGGATGCAGGACACCTAGGTTTGCCTGGCTGGTCCTTCCCTCTGGAAGCAGCTCGAGGATAGGGACCAGCACAGGGCTTGGCACACAGTAGGTGCTCAGTGTAGCACAGGCGTAGCATTAACAGCAAGGAGGCAGTAGACTATAGTGGTTAAGAGCATGGGCTCTGCAGTCACATGGCCTGAGTTCAAATCCTGCCTCCGCCACTTACAGGCTATGGAATCTCAGGCAAAAGTTATTTAACCTCTCATGGCCTCAGTGTCCTCACCTGTAAAAGGAAGAGCGTAATAGCATGTACCTCATAGGTCTGATGTGAGGATTTTGTTAGCTAACACATACATGTATAGTTCCTACAACAGTTCCCGATACGTAATAAATGTTAGCAACTGCATGATTCTGAGAAGGATGAGTAAAACAGATACACTTCTCTTTTACCATGAGCAACAAGAACGACAATGATAAAATCATTGGTCACATCGAGTTCATATAAGTGATCACATCCACAGTCACATTTGTTCTTATGGTAGGTCTGGGAGGGAAACTGAGGCTCAAAGCAGGGAAGACACTGGTCACTCACGGTCACAGGGCAAGAGCGGCAGGTCCCAACTGCTGCGGCATTACCACTGGTATCCCTCCAATCCACGATGTTGCCTCAATTGGACTTGTTTCTCATCGGCAGCATGGGCATAACACGCCCCCACATGGGGTGGTTGTGACTGAATGAAATGTTTGTAAAGTGATCGGCCCAAGCAGGTCCTCAGTAGATGTAGACTGCTGGCCCTGCCCCTTCTCCTGGGACAAGCCCTGTGCCGGTGCCCGGGAGAACAGACTTCCAACCTGGGTCTACTGCGGACGCTCCAGTTGACCTTGGGTTAGTCCATCTCCCGTCCCAGGCCTTAGTCCTCCCCAGGTAAAAGTGATAAAGCTCCAGGATCTCTGCCCCCAGGGCACCCATTGCTAATCAGTTACAGCTCTCTTTCTTGCTAAGTCAGAAAGCAGCCTCAGAATCCTTCTCAACACAGAGCTGCAAGCAGCCATCACCAGCCGCTGGGAGCTGGCCCTTGAGATACAAACCTTCATCCCTGGGTTGGTCATCCCAATAGCCCCTTCTAGCCCTCCCACTTTAGCAGTTCTAAGACTCAGTGAGACACACACCATAGCGGAGGGAGGAGGGTGCAGTCCTTGGGGGTGTCCCCACCCTGTGGTCTGCCTGATCTCTGTGAAAGGCAGCCCATGAGAAAGGCCAAAAACCTTCTCTTCCCGAGGCTGTTCGTGAATGCTTTGACATGTTTTCAAATTTGCTGCTGCTTCAACATTGAGGGGAAAGAATGAAAAGTTAAAAAATAAAAAATGTTAAAAATGGCTGGAGTAATTCAAGAAATCCCGGAGGGTGGGCAGAGCTTTACGCTCTGATATTGTGGTTTCTCGGGGGTGGGGTAGGGACTAGAGCACAAGTATTGTCATCTGGAATCCAAAGGCCATGCTGCCCTTATATGGGCCGGAGTCACAAGCCACGCAGCTAGGAATTCCTGCCGTGGTCTGAGACCTGCCCAGAGGCCCATGGCTGCTGGGAGCGACAGACAGGCTGCCTCCACTGGACCAAAGGTTTTGTGTGTCCGGCTGTATGGATCTGAAGGGTCCCAGGGTCTCAGGGGACTCCATCCCTGGGCTACAGAGTTTAGTGATGAACTGGAAGTGATTTTGGCCAAGTCCTGCACCCTCTGAGAGCCTCAGTTTTCTCATCTGAGGCAAGGAGTCATAGTGAGGGTTAAACAAGACTTCAAGTCAAGGTCAGGGCCACATTGGGCTTTTCTTGAAGGCAGTGATCCTGGCAGCATGGGCCAGGAGGAAGCGCCACCTGGGCCTTACCCCCAGGGGGCAACAGCTTCCCTTCACAATGCTTGAGGCAGGGCCACACAGTCCCCCAACCTGCTCTGCAACTGTCCCCATGCTGGCAACTGGTGACTCTGGGATGAGGCAGATCCTGGCCCTGCCCTTGAACTCAGAGTCTGGGGTGTAGGGGGCAGAGACAGACAGGAAACAGAGTGACAATCCAGAGTGCTCAGCGCTGGGGCAGAGGGAAGACAGGAAGGCTTCCTGGAGGAGGGGGCAAGGAGACAGGTCCTGAAGGAAAAGGAGGAGCTATCGCAATGAAAGTGGGGGCTGGCAAAGCATGTGCAGTGTCTTAGGGGTGAGAGGGAACATAGAGTGTTGAGGGAACTATGTCCAGTGTGCCAAGGTAGGGGCAAGAGGACATCACGAGGGTCCGGGTCGCCCAAGACCTTGGAGGCCAGGCTGAGAGGAGCCTGCACTTCACGCCATGGGCAATGGGGAGCCTGGAAGAGTCTTAAGGAGGTTACACCTAGCGGTGAGCTGCAGAGAGGATGGGTTGAAGACACTGAGCCAGAGGCAGAGAGGCAGTGAAATCCAGGAGTGGGTGTCCTTCAACAAGTTTGTGCCCTGTGGTGGCCTGCTGGCCACCTGGTGACCCTGGGCTCACAGAGTATCATCCTCTTCCTACAGGGATGGTCGGCAGTAAAAGGGCCCTCCCAGGCTGTGCGCCTGGCCCTGCCTCCCCGCGTGCATACCTGGGAGCAGCTCCTGGTCTAGGGCGCGGCCACCCTTGCCATCGCTGACAGTCAGCTGTGTGGATGCATGGAGCTGCTGTAGAGCCAGGCACTCGGTCAGGACATCGGCCTCAGGATCAGGGCCCATGTGCAGCTGGGGGAGCAAGCAGAGAGAGGGTATTAGCACGACACTGCCTGCCTACCAGCAGCCCTCACTTCAGGAGACGGAGCAGCAAGGACAGCAGCACTAAGGCAAGAGACCCTTCACCTCACTGCACCTCAGTTTCCTCACCTGTAAAATGGGGCTAACAATACCTAACCTACTATACCTTGTGAAGGCTGTGTTAGTCCAGGGGCACTGAGAAGCAGATGCCAAGAAGGGATTGAACATGCACAGATTCTATGAGGGGAAGTGTCTGTGCGAGAGAAAACAGGGAGAGAGCCGGGCAGGCTGGGAGAGCTGACAGACCCGTGAAAGTCTGACCCTGAGTGAAGGAGGGAGGGAGAGAGGCTCCCTAGACTGCTGTGCAGTGTAAGGAGGGTTTGGCCAAGTCTTCAAGGTGACCGTGAGGGAGCGAAAGTCGGCTCAAAGTCAGAGAAATCCCATGTCTCCTGGGAAGGGGTCTGCCTCAGTATCCCTACTGGGTCTGCTGAGCTCAGTCACTGGCTGGGAGCAGCTCACGGAGGTGTGGCCTCAGCACAAATGCTGAGATGGAGCCTCCTGGTAGCTGGAGGTCTGCAGGCATTCTTGTGGCTGCCACAGGGAGAACTGGGAGTGTCATGGGAATAAAACACTTAGCACAGAGCCTGGCACACAGTAGGTACTCAGTAAGTGTCTTCCTGTGCCTCCTCCCCTCCTCTCCAGCATTCTTCCTTCCTGGCAGATGCTACAGTGGAAACAGTCCAGGGCTAGCGCCAGAAGACCTGGGTTCAAATCTCACCCCATCTCTTCTTACTCCGTGTGACACTGGACAAATGACTTAACCTCTCTCACCTGTTTGCAGAAATCCACAATAACCACACCTCGCCCCCGGATGCTGTGAGAAGTAACTGAACATGCTTGTGAATGTGCTTTGTGAACACTGGCTGACCTCCAGCTGGCCGAGCCCCACACGGCCACACAACAGGTGGGCATGAAGGGTTGGTGTGTGGACTTGAGCAGGTCTGGGCCAAGATGAGGTCAGGAACCCAAGGGAGAGCACAGCATTGGGGCCAGAACAACCCTTGGCTGTCCTCAAAGACAGACTCGAGCTCCGAGTCACCTCAGGATGTCTTCATCTCTCCACATAGGGCCAGAATGGGGACAGGGAGGGGCCGAGTGGATCTCTCAGGATATCTGGGTGACGAGGGGGCAGAACCTAGATGGGAAGAGCCCCTTCTCCTGGGAAATCCCAAAGCTTGACTATAAATTTGGATGCCCATGAGATTGGCTTATCCAAACCCTCATTTTACCTAGGACAAAATAGACCCAGAGAAGGCAAGAGCCTTGTCCCATGTCACACAGCAGCTGAGAGTTAGCCCCAAGGGTTTTTCCACCCTCCCAGGCCAGTAGGGCCAGGACCCAGCTTGGGGAAGGCATGCCCAACCTCTTATGGGCTCTCAGCTCCCTGACCCAGCAGCTGTTTTCCATGTAAATTAAAGTTTCTGGCAAAAGAGGGCCAAGGCATGTTCTTGCAGACCGCAATGTAGATCGGATTAGGAGCAGCAGGAGAGGAGAATTAAGGAAGAAAAGCATTTCTAATTCTCTCTGAAACGCAGCAGGGCTGCCAAGGAGTTGTCATAATACAAGGGTCGCTTTACCCAGAAAGATACTTCATCCCCGATGGCTCGTAATGGATGCTTATTGTTGGGAAGTTTGCAGATCTGCGGCCCCAGGTCTCTGGGGCTCAGTGTGAGCCAAGCACGGGGCCTGGGAAAACCAGGGCAGGATTCTGGTCCTCAGGCACCGGTCCGCTCGGGACAGAAGCCTCCCTGGCACAGAGCCCCACAGACCGGAGCCTGGGCCGTTCCCTGCTCCCCGCTCAGGCCCCTCAGCCTGAGAGCGGTGGAAAGAGCTTGGGGCCTGGAGACAGATGGGCCCAGGATGGGATCCAGCTGTCACTCCTAGACTGCATGACTCCGGGTAGGTTTCTTAATTCTCTGAGCCTCAGTTTCCACATCTCTAAAATGGGAATAAAAATAGTCCCCACTTCCTAGGGTTATGTTGTTGTTGGGTGCCACTGAGCTGATTCTGACTCATAGCGACCCCATGTGACAGAGTAGAACTGCTTCATAGGGTTTTCTTGGCTATAATCTTTACAGAAGCAGATCACCAGGTTTCTCCCCCACGGAGTCACTGGGTGGGTTCAAACCGCCAATCTTCCGGTTAGCGGTGGAGCGCTTAACCATTGCACCACCAGGGCTCCTTTCTTAGGGTTATGGTGAGAGGATGAAGCGACATGCAGTCTGTGAGGTACCAGGTGCAGTGCCTGAGCCTCGAGGGCACTTGGTTAAGGCTCGACTCTCTTTCTCAGGGTGAACGTGGATGTGGTGTTTTGACCAGTGAGCTCATGGTGCAGGCTGTGGCCACGCTCTACACGTGGCCTGCCACTCTCTACAGCTTCCAATGGCTCCACATTGCCTGTGGAATAAAGACTGACATCTCAAGCCTGGCTGTCCCTTTCATTGTCTTTCCACTAAGGGCCTGCTTGCTCCCTGTGCCTCATCTCTGTACACCTCCATCCCCATGGGACCAAAGCCAGGCTGCTTTTCCCAGCCTCTGGCCTTTGCACTCTGTTTTATTCATGGCTTAGAACAGTGTTTGGAATACAGCAGGTGCTCAATAAATCTTGCAGGAATTAATGGGCTCTTCCCCCTCTGCCATCTCTGCTGTGTTTCTCTCCACCCCACACCCTCCCTGGCACTTGAGTACCCCCACTCCCATGCCTCGGTGGCCCTCTGGAGATGTGGGTTAAAGCCAGATGTGTAGGCTGTGCCCCATGTTCCAGTCCTCTTCCTCCCGCTGCAGCCTGGGTCCCTCGGCAGCTCACACACTCCTTGTCCCACATACTCTTTGTCCAAAACAGAATCCAGGTTGTCTCCTACAAACCTGCTTCTTTCTTGGGTTCTCTGTCCTGGTAAAGGGCACCCCCACTCATCCCACCCCCCAAGTCTGACACTGGCGGGCTTCATCCTAGGCTCCTTTGCGGCTCCCCCTGCCCATCTCAGCAGTCATGAAGCCAAGCCCCTGCACCCCAACCCATCATGCCCCAGGTCATGCCCCACCATCTTGCTTGCTCCCCAACAGTAGCGTCCCTGCCTCGCATCTCCCTCCAACAATCTCAACCCATTCTTCACATGGCCCCCAGAGCCATCTTTCTAAAGCTCAAGGGAACATGTCCTTTCTCTGCTTAAGACCCCTCACTGACACCCTGCTGTCCTCAGGACAAAGCCCAAACTCCTCGGCAGGGCTTCCAGCCTGTTGTGACTCGCCCTGCCCACCCTGCCTCTCCTCCTGGCCTCTGCTCAGCCTCCAGAAAGAGACAGCCTGCCTCCTTGGCCTCCCACACATAGTTCGCTTCAGCTGCGGTCTCTGCCTCACGCTGGTCACTCTGCAGGATACGCTCTTCTTACCTGTCTTCACCTGCCCCACACTTACTCCTTCCTCAAACTTAATGCAAATATATGCTCACTTCTGTTTTGAGCTTTTACTTTCTGCCAGATACTGTTCTAAATCCTTCATGCGTATTTACTCATTTAATCCTCACAAGAACCTTTAAAGCATGTCCTTTATTGTCCCCGGTGGACAGGTGAGGAACACAGGCTTTGAGAATCCTACCTCAGGCCACAGAGCTAGCAGTGCCACAGGCAGGAAGTGACCCCAGCAGCTGACTCCAGAGCTCACGCTTCTAGTCACTGTGCTCTATCATCCAGTGTCATGTCTTCCACGGAACCTCTGCTCCTACCCTAGACAGGCCCAGGACCCCTTATCTGTGCCCCTGACTATTCTCTGCATCCCTCCGCTGTAGTCTCTATTACATTATGTTGAGTTATCTCTTTATGTCTCTCTCTTACCCGCCAGGCCATTGAAGGCAGGGACCCTGTTTTTCCATTTTTGCATCCATGTTGCCTAGCACAGAGCCTGACCTCAGATGTTTACTAAACAGGCTGGGGTGAGTGGGTGATGAGCTGGTGGGTAGTATGGGGGTGGATGATGTACAGCTGGCTGGGGGCCAGAAGTAAGGGCAATGGGGACACTCAGTGAACACTGGGAAGTAGATGGGCAGGTGGACAGACAGCAGCCCACGTGGGTGTGTGGATGGTGAATGCATGCAGGCAGTGTGGGTACTCGGCCCAACGACTGGATGGATGGGTGGGCAGCCAGGCAGGGGTCTGCAGAGATGGGTCCCGGATGGAGGCCGTCTTACCTTCTTACGCACCTGCTGCTCTTTGGCTGAATGGGCCTTCACGTGCTTGCGGAGGGAGCTGGGGTCTGTGTAGCGCTTGGAGCAGCCGGGGATCTGACAGGCATACGGCTTCTGCAACAGCAGGGGCAGGATGAGTGAGGGGCCAGACACAGGCTGGATGACCCAGTAAGCAAGGTATGCACTTCCTTGTGTGTACTAACTAATCTGTAGTGAACGATTACCTTGCCTATTGGATAATCTGCTCCCGGACACCTCTCAGGGCCAAGGCATCACTGCCAGGGCCTGCTGTGTGACCTGGGGGAGGGGGGTGGCGCAGGAGGGAAGACCAGGAGAGGGGCAGGTTGCAAGCTCAGGCCTTATGCTTCTCTCCAGTGTCTTCGGCCAGGAGGAGTCTGACTCGTCAGCCCTGCCCACAGGTGTGGAAGGTGCCAGGTATGCAAGTGAAGGAGGGAGTTTGCATCTCCATTCTAGCACCGCTCTGAGACCTCCCCTCTCTGAGCTCGCCTTCTCCTCTGCACAGTGAGGCCTACTGAATTCTAAGAGCTCTTCCAGCTCTGCCACTGTTTGGCTCTGAGAAAAGAACACACTTTGTAGTTCTCAGCTGCAAAACAGCAGCCCGTGGGCGAGGAGTAAAGTGAGAGAGGCTGCCCGAAAGGAGAAGGAGGAGGAGGAGGCGAGGTGATGAGAGGGGAACAAACACAAGGACATGGTGGGAGTGAGGCAGGACCCCCGGCTTGGGGGGACAGGCCAAGTTCCCTTGACTGCTCTCTAGGCCACGAGAACACCCAGGTCCTACTCCCGACAACCACGGGAGGCCAGGAGGGAACTGGATCTCAGGGAACAAAAGCTCTGCCCTGTGAGTGCTTGGGCAAGTCCCTCCCCTCGGGCCCACACTGCTCACCTAGAACAGGAAAAAACCAAAAAACCAAGCCTGTTGCCGTCAAGCCAATTCCGACTCATAGTGACCCTATGAGACAGAGTAGAACTGCTCCATATGGTTTCCAAAGAGTGGCTGGTAGACTTGAACTGCTGACCTTTTGGTTAGCAGCTGAACTCTTAACCACTGCTCCATGAGGTCTCCAGAACAGGAAAGGAGGCCTCTAAATCCATGCCCACTGCCTCCCTGGGACTCGGACCCCAGCTCCACCCTGCTGTCAGGGCTTTCCCCTCATACTCAGGCCTTTCTCATAGGTCTGGCCACATCCCTGCCCCCCCACTAAAAGTCCCTCCAGGGCTTCTGGTGCCCTCAGGACACAGGCCCTCTCTTGGCAGTCAAGGCCCTTTGTGACTTGTTAGTTGCTATGAAGTCAATTCTGACTCATGGCAGTCCCATGTGTGCCACAGAAATGCTCCATATGGTTTTCAAGGCTGTGATCTTTCAGAAGCAGATCGCCAGGACTGTCTTGGGCCCTGCTTAAGTCTTCATCCCTCCTGCTCCTCTTGCCACCACCCACCTTCCCATCCTTGAGCTCACAGGCCTCCTTACCCTTGCACATGCTGTTCCCAGTGTCTCTCCCTGTGCAACTTGCATGTCCCTCCTCACCCTTCCCACACAGCCACATATCACCTCCTCTCCAAGCCGTGCTCCAATCCCTCTTCCCACCTCCACAGGCTGCAGCTTCCGGGCTATCCACCCTGTCCTGCCAGGTCTGTTTAGGTGTCCCTCCTCTCTACCAGGTGGGGAGGGGACCCATCTGCATCATCTTGGGGTCTGGGCCTGACCCTCAGCTCTAACAGAACTCTGATATTCTCCACAGGGCCTTCCCCAACCCCCGGCTTGGAAACGCCAGCTGCCGCTGGGGCTTGAAATTCATAAAACTTCCCTTTTTTGAATACACCTAATGGTTCCTGTCTCTCAGGACCCTTGGCCTCCCGGAATGACAGGGGATAGGGGAACGCTTGGAGGAAGTTACACTGTTTGGATTTAAGTACTAGGGACTGCTATGTCCCTGTCAGACATGCCCAGGTAGAACTGCCCCCAAAGCTCAAGGCAACTCTGCCCCTGCTGGACCGAGGAAGACCCAGGGAGAGGTGCTCACAGCCCAGGGACCTCGCGGGGAAGAGAAGCAGAAAGAAATGATCATACCTTGGCGCTGCCACGGAGAGTTGCCAGGTTAAAGAAACGGAGGAGAACAAAAAGAGAGAGACAGACCAGTGAGAAGCTTGCCTCCGCTGGAAGGACATCACGAGGCAGGAGGGGTGGAAGGTGTGCGCAGACCTGCCCCCTAGCCCCAGTCACATGGAGTCTCTCTCTCTCTCTCTCTCTCTCTCTCTCTCTCTCTCACACACACACACACACACAGAGTTACACAACATACAGAGTCTCAAATACATACAGCCCTTCTCTTATGAGCCCTGACTCCCATCCTCATCACATGCACAGAGTTATTCTCTCCCTCTCCGGGGCCTTGCCCTGCCCCAAGCCAGGCTCCAGGCCCGGTCCCTTGGGGATGCTGATACAAATCCAGGCTTTTTTGTCAAAATGCAAACAAACAGAGTTCCGAGTACAGATGCACTTGCCTGGAAAGACAAAGGCAAGGCCCATCTCTGTGTTTGTTTTTCCAGGGCCTGATGTGTGCAGAACATTCCTCAGGCCTAGCTGCCCTGTGAGCCCTCAGGAAACCCTGTGCCTGTTCCAAGCAAGCAGCCAAACTCCAGGCTGGAGTCATCACACAGGCTCCAAAACCAGGGTCACCTTATTAGCATTAAGAACAAGGATAATCATGGTTCTGTGAGAATGGTGCGTTAGGGCTCACAAAGCCCTTCCCGAGCTGTGCTCAGAGAATACAGCCTCACTGATGGAGTGCTTCCTCTGTGCAGGCCTTTGCTGAGCACTTGCCATCCATGATCTCCTTTGAGTCTCACCCCCACTCCTTGAGAATCATGCCCACTTTGCAGACGAGGAAACCAAGGCTGAGTGGTTTGCCCAAGGCCTCACAGCTAGTAAGAGTGTGTGCATGACACTGCTTGGGCGCCTCCTCTCATGCGTAGCCCTGAGCGGTCCAGTGAAGTGGCAAAAGAGAGACTGTAACCCACCCCCCTCATCTTGCCATGGAGAACTGAGGCTCAGAGCAGGACAGTGGTTTCTTTGAGTTCACACAGGGAGTCCATGGCAGTCAAGACTTGAACCTCATACTCAATGCCTGGTAGGATTTGGTCAGCATTTAGTTAGCAAGTAATGGGGTTGGAAAGGTAGGACCCATCTTTGCTGCACAGACCACATGCTGGGCCTTTCCATATCAGCTGATCCTCTCATCTCCCTCTCATGAGGTGTTTTACCTCTGAGGAAACTAAGGCCCAGAGAGGCTGAGTGGCTGTCCTCAGACCTCTGGGACCAGGTGGCAGGGTCAGGACTAGACCCAGGCCTGGTTCTCTCCAGTCTGTTCAGCTAAACTTTCTTGCCCGTGGAGAGAATGCAATGTTCTTCGATAACAGAGAGGACATGGGGACGCAGTTGGATTCCCTTTGGAATACAAGGCCCCACCCTGCATGAGGCCTCACCCACCAGCCCTCTGAGTGGCAGTGCTGGGAAAGCAACCTAGCACCATGGAGCTGCCTGCCTGTGTTTCTGTGGGGAGGGGGCGCAAGCGGGATGCTGAGCTTGATTGCTGCATGTCTCAGGCTTTATGGGGGCCTCTGGGGCGATGAAGGCCTGAGATGACTCTGTGGGCTCATTCTGAGCCTGACCCAACCTAGTCCTTGGGGCACTGTTCACATACCACCAAGTGGGGGCCAGAGGCCTGCCTGTTGCTTTGGCGCTGGGTCCAGGAAATGCAGTGAGGAGGGAGGGGAAAGCGGGTGAGTCAGGGTAGGTGACCTGGAAAGGCCCAAAGAGGGGAGGCGTGGAAAGGCCTGGTGTGATTGGTGCTGCCTGTGGCATCTGGGAAACATAACCACGGGTGCCTCTCAGGGCCTGGGCCAGGGTCCCAAGGGCCCCAGGTGCTGGGCTTGTGAAAAGGTAGTGAAAGGGGAGGGGGATTTGTTAGAACAGCTCCTCACTTCATGTCCCCAACATGACAGCGGAGCTGGGTGGGGAGGGGGACCAGGTTCAGGTTGGGGACTGTGTTCTTCCCTTCCCACTCTGGCCCCCTCCTCCTCAACCCCACCTCCCAGTGTGGCTGATGCAACTGCTTTTTTTAGCATAGAGCACTGGACTTGGAGTCAGACCCAGGTTTGCATCCCAGTTTCATAACAGGGGCAAACGACTCAATCTCTCTGAGTCTCCGTTTCTTTGTCTGCAAATCAGGTACAACTGCCTCTACCCTAGACAGGTCAGTCCCCTCTCTTGGACCTCTGTTTTCTCATCTGTATACTGGACAGGCCAGGCTGAATGGTCACTTAGATCTCCCAGTCTTCCACCCTCAGAGATCCCCAAACATCTTCAGGAAGAGCAGAAATGCAGGCCTGGGGCCCAGACATGGACTGTGGCTGCAGACCCCGGTCTCCTGCTGCACACGGGGGCTGGGGTCCTGCCAGGGCAAACTCGCAAACACAGTGGGCTGGTGAGACTGGTGTGAGGCCCAGGTTTGAGTCAGCTCTGCCACCTTCCAGCTGTGTGATCGGGAGCAAGCACTGTACCTCCCTGAGCCTCGCTTCCCTCATCTGTCAAATGGGTTCACAAGCCCCTGACTGGCAGAGTTGGTATGAGATCACAGATGATGACGTTTTAGGAAGTGCTCTGTTAACTGTTGAGGTCTATATGCACGAGGGGAATGCCTGTACTTACACTATGGTAAAGCTGTGACACTGTCTGGCACAAACAGGGGAAGGCAGGAGGAAAAAGACACAGGCTTCTGGAAGGCCCAGGTCACTATTCCAGGGGCCTGGAGTCTTAGGCACTGCCCCACCGCAGTGCTCAAGGGACAAAGACATCGTGGAGCAGCTCTGGCCTGTCTCCATGAAGGGGGGTAGGAACAGCAGGAAGCGGCTGCTCCAGGTATGGCTGACAGGACAGTGAGCCCACTCCCTCCATGGGGTATGCAAAGAACCAGAGCCTGGGCTGGGGGTGGGCTGGTACCCATGGGCTAAAGCACTGGTTCTCAACAGAGGTGAGTCTGCCTCCCTGGGGACATTTGGCAATGTCCGGAGATATTTTTGGCTGTCACAACTGGGGGCAGGGTGCTACTGGCATCTAGTAAACAGAGGCCAGGGATGCTGCTAAACATCCTACAATGCACAGGGCAGACTCCCCCTGCCCCTCCCCACCCCTTGCCCCAAGAATTAGGAGGTCTAATAAGTCTAATGGTAGGGTAAACAGAACTAAAGGGAGGGGTTCTTCATGGACAATGGCTCCTGCCCCACATTAGACAAGTGGGATGTGGGTACGCGTCCCCCACCTTCTACCCCCCTCAGCCTCCGCCCTCTGGGCCTACCGTGTCGAGGTGGGTGCGTTGGTGCTTGGCGCGGTCGCTGGAGTTGCTGAAGGCCTTCTGACAGCCTGGATGCTGGCACAGATATGGTTTCTCGCCCGTGTGGCTCCTCAGATGGATCTTGAGGTTCTCCAGCCGCGAGAAGGCCTTGCTGCAGCCCTCAAACTGTAGGAGAGGCTGGTGAGGGCCACTTGGAAGCTCCTGTAGGGCCCACCACCCAGCCTGGATATGCTCCCCTGGGCTGGGGCCGAAGCATCAGGTCTGTCTGGCCCCCAGCACCCTCTACCCCACTTGGTCCTTCCCGAGGCCTCCAGGTCCTCTGGTTCAGCTCCCCATGAACTGCTCAGGACTTAGACTCTGTAACTGGGAAGCCCTGGTAGTTTCCAGAAAAAAAAATTCACCCCCGACTTGGAAATGGATCACTTGGGCTGGAGAAGAAAGTGGTCTTTCTGTTTCTGGATCTGAAAGGATTTCCTTCCCAGTGCTACCTGGACACTACATGTGCTTGACGGCAGCACAGCCCTGAATGGATGTGAGAGCAGGTGGCACATTGTAGCGCAGAGAGAGCTGGGGCTTAGAACTCGAAGGCCTGGGTTTGAGTCAGGCTCTATCCCGGCGAGGCTTTGGGCAATGCCCTTGACCTCTCTGTACCTGATCTCCACGTCTACAAACTTCAGGCTGTGAGGCCACTTCTCAGGGCTGATAATGAGGGTCTCATGGGGCAGGAAACTGTGACTGTCAAGGGGCTGTGTCCATCGAGAGAGTGGCATCAGTGCTAATTAACATCAGACAATAAGCACGTTTGTAAACCGAAGGGTCTTCTCTGAGTTCTTGTTTGGTTGCTTAGCTGCCCAGTGCCTCCCACGTACCAGGCCCTGTGCTGGGTAGTGGGCACAGCACAGACACGTGATGCCCCCAGTCTAGTGCGGGGAGTGGTACAGAGAGCAAGAAATGAATCACAGTGGAAAGCGCATCAGAAGAAAGAGCAGGTGTGGGGCCTCCACGCACTAAGACTCTCTTCCTCTGGCCCCAGGGCACCCCAACCCTCAGCCTCTGCTCAGCTCCCACCTCTGTCCCTTTAGAGTCCTTCCACTTCCAACTCCTCCCTGCGTCCCCGGTCTCCACACGGCCATTCAGAAGGAGCCTTCTGACATAGAAATCGGATCTTGTCACTCACCACTTAAAACCCTGCCGGCCAGTCTAGCATTCAAGCCCCTGCAACCTCCACACCTCCCTGCCTCTCTCCTCCCACCCCACACTCCAGTAACAGCCTCAGGAGTCAGCCATGCAAGCTCCAGACTGGTCCACGCAAGTCACTCTGTAAGGAATGCCCTCCCTTTCACAACCACCTGCCTAATTCCCCCTCAGCCTTCAAAGTCCAGCTCCAAGGCTGCCTGACGCGTGGAGGCAGCTGACTCCGGATCCCTTAAGTGCGACGGGCTGCTCCTTCCTGCTTCTCCCCGCCGTCTGATGATGCTACAACCAGGCAAGGTTCAGGTAGTATGCACGCCGACTGACACCTGCTATGCGTCAGGTGTGGTGCTGGGTGTTTAGCTTCACAACCACTCTGTGAAGTACATGGCATCAATGTCCCCATTTCACGGATCCATCGATGGAGGCTCCGTGTAGTGGAATGAACTGCCCAAGGTCACATGCCTGGGACATGGCAAAGACAGACCTGAGCCAAGTCTGATGCCAAAGCCCAGGTGGCTCTGCTATGCCCTTCTGCCCGCCCAGGGGCAGGTGGGCAGGGGGAGGTGAGCCTTGAGGAGGAGACCAGAGGAGGCAGGGTCCCTCTCCCAAGCCACCAGTTTCATCCCCCAGGCTCCAGGTTAGGGTGCAAACTGTGAGCACCTAACTCAGATTAGGACCCACCTGACCCCCACCAGATAATCCCACCCTCTGAACAAGGGGCCAGCCTGGGCCAGCCTGCTCCCAGTAGCAGGCAGCCCATGATGAAATGGGGACAGCACATTCCTGCTCTTCCCCTCCCTTTCTCTGGGCTTCACCTGCAGGGGGAGGAAGGAGCTGGCGGGTTCCCTCATATGTGTCCACAGCTGGAACACTTGACCTCCTTCTTCTGAGTTGGGCATCGGTTTCCTTTTTGCACAACCCCCCTCCATTTTAAAGGTACTCTGTGGTGCAAACGGTTAATGCATTTAGCCGCTAACCGAAAGGTTGGTGGTTTGAGTCTACCCAGAAGTACCTTGGAAGAAAGGCCTGACAATCTACTTTTGAAAAATCAGCCACTGAAAACCCTATAGAGGTCACCATGAGTCATAATTGACTCGATCTGTCAGCGAGTTTATGGGTGGGTGCCTGGTGAGGACTGTGGGTAGGGTTCAGACCCTGTGGTCCATTTGGCTTATTTCCCTTGCCCTGAGAGGGTGCACCAGTTGAGGGCAGTTCAGTGCGTTTGGTAATCTTTGGTGCAGGGCAGTTTGGTTGGACAATCTGGCTGCAGCCCTGTGCTGGGTGATGCCGCGACACAGAGAGGACCCAGACATGCGTCCTACCCCTCAGGGGCACACAGCCCAGAAGGGAGACACACATGCAAACCACCATAACCAAACTGTGTGATCAGCGCTGTAACGGAGGGAGACACAGGGCTTTGGTGGCACAGAGGAGGGCCCAACCTGGAGGTGGGGGTGACAGTGCAAAGTTTGGAGAGAAGTGCAGGAGGCGTGGAAGGTATACACAGTCAGTTATGCCAACATTGATCCATTCACTTCATTCAGTCACTGATTGACCTGAGCCTTGAACAATGACTAGGGTTTCCAAAGAAGACAACGGGGCAATGGGCAGGGAAGGCCAAAGGGAAGGTAGGCTCAGACGCATCCAAGTGTGGAAAGGGCACAAAGGCCCTGGGGCTACTGAGGCCCCTAACTGGCTGAGTAAAGGAGAAACATTGGGGGGTAGGGCTCTAGTGGTGGAGGAGCCTACAGGGTGGTCAGGGGCCAAATAGTGAGGCTGAGGACTCTGGGCGCCATTCTAAGATTAGTGGGGGCTGTGGCAGGGCCTTAAGAGAAGGGACAGGGTCAGATAAGCACTCTAAGAAGACCCATCTGGCTTTTGAGTGACAAGTTGAGGCCGGGAGAGGAGACAGGGAGGCCAGTGAATCGAAGGCACTGTTAACAGATACAGATGAGGGCACTGAGCCAGGACAGAGGTGGCAGGATGGTGTGGAAATCAGAGCAGAACCACCTAGACAGACGTGAGAATGAGGACCCTCAGACAGTGACTGGTCCTGAGTGAGCTGCCTCTCGCCTCTCCCTTGAAGACCCTGTCACAATTTTGGGCCGCGCTCTGCTGGGGCTGGTCCAAGGCAAGCCGCCCGCAGCTGGGTTTTAGAGGCTGTTCCGCTTCTTACTTCCAGATGTGGTGCCTTTGCAATGCATCAAAACCAGAAGGAAATCCTGTTTGGGGAGTAAATAGGCCGCAAGCCGCCCGCTTTGCTCTCCTGCAATGGCCTTGTGCCAAGTTCATCCTGACGTGAATGAGAGGAGCCTGGGCTGGAGAGCGGGGCTTCCTTTCGGCATCCAGCTCGTCTCTTTGTTCCTCTCTGGCCCGTGCAGGGAGGGCGGACATCTGAGGCAGAGGGGCAATAACTCCTTGCGTGCTGCGTGATTTTTCTGAGTTTGGGAGAGTCCACCAGACTCTGGAAATCGGTATATCATCTTGATTCTTCTCCCCCAAGGGTCTGCATACTCCTGTCTGGGCCGGCACAGTCGCTCCACCCCCTGCCTTTGTTCAGGCTCTGTCCCTCCCGGGATATCTTCCCTCCCAACTCCCTGACCATTTAATTCATACCTTTTTCAAAAGCCCGGGATCTTCAGCTCTGTGTTCAAGATTTTTCTTCCCCATCCACATACACAGGGGAGAAGCAAGGGTAACGAGCGCCCAGGGGCAATCTCTAAGTTGCACTCCCCCCACCCGCCCCCTCAGTTTCAAGATGAATAGACATTGGTAGCAGCCGAGTCAGCAGAAATGCTTTCCCCACTCTTGTCCATCTGCCTCAGTCAGCCGCCTTTCATATTTGTGGCGCCTTGGAATGTCATTCTATGCCTCATCTGGTGCCCCCTTGGACTTGTGCCTGGGGGCAAGTGCCCCTCTTTACTCCGCCCCCTCCGCCTCTGCACATACACCCCACACAAGTCATGCGGTAGCCACACGGGAGTGACTGCCTCTCTCTGAATGTGTCAGGAGCTGTCATGCCTTCAGGACTCTGCCTGAGCTGTTCCCTCTGCCTGGAATGCCTTTCCCTCATCTGCTCACTAAGCAAACATCACCTCATGTTGCCCAAGCACCATGTCCTCTGAGAAGCCTCCCTATCTCCCCCAACCCTTCTTCCTCTGTGTGTCCTGGCTCTTTGCCACTCCTCGGTCACACCCCTGGGCTTGGTGGGTTAGTTAGAAGGTTTTCACTGCACAGCCACTGCCTTCTTTCCTTCCCTCCAGGCTGAGGGTCTGAGAGTTCCTTGAAGGAAGGGCTGGCATTCATTCATGGGGCAAAAACTGAGTTAGAATGCAATCCAATCAGGACAAGAATAGGGGTTTCTGAGCATGAGGGTACATGTAACCCTGTGAGTGCACTCTCCTCACTCCAGTGTTCATCAAGGTGCCCCAACATGTGTGCCTGTGCAATGATGCCCATGCCATGCCCGTGCATGTTGGTCCAGCCTTGTCCTCCCACCTCCACCCGTGGAACCTCCCAGAGCTGAGCCACAAGCAGCTGGGCCAGGGTGTCCTGATGGGAGTGGACTCAGAGACAGCAACAGGTTGAGAAGGGGTGCTGGTCTGGGATGAGGATGTACCCTGGAAGAGCAGTACCCCAATCAGAGACAGCGTCCCGAGACATGGCAGGGGCCTTGAGGGTATGTGGGCTCAGCCACCTGCCAAGGCTCCTGTGGTCCTCCCCATCCTACAACTGCACAGATGGAGAGAACAGAGACACAGCGGGGAAGGATGGAAGCATTCACTGGTTTAGCACCTACTGTGGGCCCGGCTCTTCAAGGCCTGGTACTTTCATAAATGCAATCGTTTATCAACCCCACAGCCCTTCTAGGCAAGCATGACTCTCTCCACTGTCGGATGAGGAGCTGAAGCTCAGCGAGATCAAGGGACAAGGCAGGCAATTCAGTGCAGTGGTTACAGACAAGAACTTTG